GGTTGGGCGGTGGTGGAGGAGGAGGTCTCGGCGGCGGCGGAGAGGGCGGTTGCGGGGACGGTGGCGGGGGGCTGGGTGGCGGCGGCGACGGCGGCGGGGGGCTTGGGGGCGGAGAGGGAGGCGGCGGCGGCATGGGTGAGGGCGGTGGGCTAGGAGGCGGTGGCGGCGGCGGACTGGGCGGCCGAGGCGGCGGCGGCGGCGGCGGCGACGGCGGAATCAACGGCGGTGGCGGCGCAGAGGGCGTAGCGTTGTAATAGTTGTACTTTTCAATGATGTTGTCCGTCTGGGTGTGCTTGTCCGGCTGGGGATGGGGAAAAGAGGGAAAGCATTATGGTTGAAAAACGAAGGATCATATAACATAGGATTTTAAAAACCCTAAAACACTGTTGCTTGGACGAGCATCACATCATTAGACAATTCCTTTACTCGTACGGCAACACAATCATGGTTCGCACACAACTGGACAATCAGGTTCTGCACTCTTCTCAACTGGTCGCTATAACCGCTATTAGCCCGTCAGAAAACCAAGATCCCTAAAAGAACCTAGCAATCGCAACCGAAATCAAACTGACCTGCGTGATGCAGGTTTGGCTGGTGGTTGAGTACGTCACCATCGACGTACGGGCCGTAATTCGCAGGTCCAGATTGATTTGCTGCGACAAAGAAGCAGACGAGGAGGACAGCGAGGATGACAGTTAGATTTCACGCCTAGCAATCATCGTCTAGAGGCCTAGGACAGCTCCCTGACACGGAGAAAACGCGGATTCGAATTCCGGTTGGCCGTATTCAACCAACGACCGGATCGTTTGGTACAAGGACAAGGACCTAACGTAGGCCAACCACAAGGTTGTGACAGAGACCCACGACCCAGAGGGGAGATGGGAGAGGGTGAACTCGCAGAGGACAGCGCCCGCACCCCGCGCGACCTCAAGAGCCCCGTACGCACGTACCCTGCATCCGATGTCCGGGAAGACCTCGTTCAGATCGAATGTGAAGGTGTAGCATGAGTACAGCACAATGCCAGTCTTGTTCCGTTTCTGGACGGAGGGACGGAAGGGGGGAAGGGACGGAAGGGGGGACGGCAGCGCAGCAAGGCACGGGCAGGGAGGGAGAGGGACACGGGGTGAACGGGCGGGGGGGGAGGGGGTACGTACACGATAAGATGGGGCGAACAAGGGAAGCCCCACCCAACCATCAGCTCAACATTCAAGCCTGGGAAAAAGAGCAGACGTACACCGTACATGTCCTTTCACAAAACTCTACAACAATGCCCATTCTAAAACCCAGGACAACCCACCATCGGCAACGACACCGTCGTCAGGTTGCCCGAGAACGCAACGCTGATGAGCAGGAAGTGGTTGATATCCGTTGTGTTAGTTGTATTGGTGTTGGTGAAGAGCAGGTTGGGGCAGGTGGTACGCATCGTGGCGTGCAAGACGCCCCGTGTCGTGCGAAACGTGTTCACCATGCCCACACTTGTTACGGAACCATCACTGCCAACGGTGTAGAAGTCAAACTCCTTCGTCGCCACAGCGCCAAAGTCGTTACTGCAAAGATAGTCGTCCGGCATGGCGCCACCCAACGCTTGGGGCAGCTTGCAGATGCGGCCGTTCGACCACCACTTATCCTCCTGCATCACAGATGAATTTTTGTTTCGTCTCCATGTTTCGGGAATGGCAGGTTACCGGCACTGGTAAATTTTATCAACAGCTAACAAAGGCAGCATTCCCTTAGCACTAAGCTGGTGTCGCATCCGGGCTCCACGCCCTTCTCTTCCGCCCCCACAGTCCCAGGGCGCTTTGCTTCAGCGTGCAGAAATCCCCGCCTCCTTAGTCCCAGCGCACCGTTTCGCAGCTCCCCTGGCAGGTAGCACAGCCCGTGACGCCGTCATATGAGCAGTAGTTAACGTCGGGTTGATTGGTTGGCGGCGGTGGCGGCGCAAACACGACCGGTGGCGGTGGCGGGAAGTCCTGGAACTGGCAGGTTGCGGAGCAGCCGTCTCCGTCCAGGATGTTGCCGTCATCGCACTGCTCCCCGGGGTCCACAACGAAGTCGCCACAGCGCCAGCAATCGGGATCTTGCTTATCGATCAGGCCATCATTATCGTTGTCGATTTTATCGTAGCAGTTCTCAGCAGTGAGGATAGTCTTGGTGTTGCACAGAACTGCATGCGGGATCAGGAAACAGGCATGCGTCCAAGAAGGAGGAGAACGGCGGCTACTGAAACCAACGCAACACCTTAAAAGGCGACGGCAACCTTTCCACCCGTCCGTACCGTACTGTCTCGTCTGGTATCCTTCAGGGCCCCCTTCCCCCGACCCTCCGGGTACACACCTGTCGCACGGCAGTCCTGGTTGGGTCCCGAAGTCACGGGACAAAAGCCGGTCTGGTAGGCCATCACTCGCATTCCGTTCCAGTCAATGGGTCGGGTGAAGTAGCCGTGATAGTACACGTGATCCAAGTTACTGCGTGAATGTACAGAAAAACACACACGAACAGAGAGACATACAGACGGTTCAGTTGTGCGACAGACTCACATTTATAAACATACATAACGTGCGGCTACGTTGCATACAAGACACACCTACTCATACATACATACGTACTTGCGAGCTAACCAGGAACTAAGTTGATGCGCCGTTGATCCGCTAGATTTGGTTGGATGCTGGTGGTGAGTTGCCGAACCCAATGAATACATTCCGAAGTCGGATGGGGTGACGGATTAGGGTGCCCCTCTAGCAGGGGAGAGCAGGGACTGCCCCCGGGAAAGGGGCCGCTGGCGAAGTTAACCACCCTGTAACAACAAACATACGTACATGTTCCTGGCCTAACATCACACAGCAACTCGCCTCACACACACAACGCACATATGTATGTGGTCCGTGTACGACACATGCGAGGAAAAATCAAAGGTGATATTCCCTCCAAATTTCCCCCTACCACACATTTACAAATAGGATCATAGTTGGCACGGCACGGGTAAGGTTGCCTTAGGAGGGGGCCTGGTAAGGAAAAATGCGACCGCGTCTTGCATGGAAGCCACAGTGCCTAATCAGGATACGCTATGGCGCTATGGAGAGCTTCACAGCCGAGCCGTCCTCAAAGTTCAGAGCTCAGCTGCACTACCGGGGCCCCAATGGACAGGCCGGCGGCGCAAGAAGGGTTTCCCGCCCGTTGGACTGTCGCATCACCTGTTGTTCGATTCCGGTGAGAAGAGCTGCATCTCGCGGGTAATGGAAACATCGACGAAGTCAAGCGCGGTGAAGGTGAAGGACACGGGCAGGAAACCAAAGGCCGAGGTGCCAAAAGAAGACTGAGTCAGCACCACCATCGAGCCACCTGTACGACAGCAGTACGGAAGTAAAGCGCAGTGGCAAAGCATGCCAAGGGAGTGTGAATTAGAAATGTGGATGGGGGGAACGGGGAATGTTGGTGACGGCGTGCGGGGGATGGAGCTCAACAGGTTCAGTGGTCGCAGTTCGCTTGGGGGCAGGGGAAACACACACGGGAAAGGCTAACGAGCCAACACATGTGCGGCTTACACGTGCGGCGCGAGAGCGTTACAAAGGCCGCCATGAGACCTTACGATTAACATGGTGTTGTACGGTCGGGGAAAGCATCAAGGCTTGTCTATGAGTAGGACGATTCTGGCAGATTAGTACCGCTACCGCCTTCGCGACGACGACCTCACCGCGTTTGTTAACGAAGTCGACGATTTTCGGCCGAATGGCGATGAGGGCTTGGTTTTGCGTCGACGTGATGCCGCCGTCCGTGTTGCCGTTGTCGGAGGGGACGTAGATCATCTTGTACCTCGTTAGGTTGTAGCTGCTGTACGTGCTGGAGCTTGTGGCGTATGTAATGATGGAGGTCGAATAGCCGGCGCTCGTTACCCAGCTCTCGAGCGATTTCCTCGCATTCTGTGTTACAATAAAAACATAATGGAGAAATCAGTGGATGCACATGCGCGTCGATTAACATTAGGCAGGCACAGGCAGAGAGACAGACAGACAGACAGATTGACAGACAGATTGACAGACAGATTGACAGACAGATTGACAGACAGATTGACAGACAGATTGACAGACAGATTGACAGACAGATTGACAGACAGATTGACAGACAGATTGACAGACAGATTGACAGACAGATTGACAGACAGACAGACAGACAGATTGACAGACAGATTGACAGACATCAGGCAGATGGTCAAGGCAAGACGCGGGCAGCCGACCGCGCCCATGAACCCCAGCCGCATGCGCCCATCTGTAGACAGATCAAAAACGCTTACCGAGGTGCTGCTGAACGAGCCGAAGGCTAAGATGCCGCTGGCGTCCGCAGGTGCTAGGTCCAGGGCCTTCTTGATCATATTGGCGTACAGCTTGCCACATGCATCACCTTGGCAGTGATTCTTTAGATGCGATGTGGGAAGAGGAACAGGAGGGCAGGTAGCATGAGTTTATGGGCTGGCGGTCCGACCGGATGGCGGCAGAAGGAGCGCTTGGTGAAGTGTGGAAGGACGGTAGCTAATACGTCGTGACACAGCAACAAAACCCGATATCTGTGGCAGCACTAGCAGCAATAGACGAAGAGAAGCAAGGACAAGAGGGAGAAGAGGGAAGTGGAGAGGAAAGAGGACGAGAAAGCTGTAATGCGGATGCAGTGTGCAGCGCCACACAGCTGAAAAGGGGGGTAGCTTGCCACGTACGACAACCTGCGCCGTATGTTTTGAGTTGCAAGGACTTACCGCATCATCGGCGTCGTCCGTACTAACGCAAGTGTAGCCACCGACGTTTGAAAGCTGCAGCGGCGGTGGCGGCGGCAGCACGGCACCTGGCGGCAGAGGTGGAAGGGGGGGCGGCCGCGGGGGAGGCGGGCGAGGCGGCGGCGGCGGCGCCGGTGGTGGTGGCGGCGGCGGGCTGGGCGGCCGCGGTGGCGACGGCGGTGGCGAGACGTTGCTGCACTTGAAGCTTGGAGTCCCAGGTCGCGGCACACGGAACGTCCACAGGCACTCGTTGGCCTGGTCGCCCTGGCCACAACCAGCCCTCACCCCGTTGACTGTGCGCGGGCCTTGACAGCTGGCGGCGATACCGTTGATAACGACGTTGAGGGGTGGGGTGCCAGTAGCTGCGTTGGGGGGAGGGGATGGAGGTATGTTGCGGATAACGAGCCGGGAGAGGTGCCTGTATAGGCCATATTACGGCCGACGAAGAAGACAAAGCCGAATCCTGTACACGGCATGTGGGTTGTGCACATGGTGTTCCAACCCACGGGTCAGATCTAGAGATCTAGATACAAGTCTATGAGCACACTCACACAGACAGGCCTGGGTCCCGTCCTTGACAGTGAATGCGAGATCCGCCCAGGCCGATGCGCCAGCGCTGTTGTTCCACCGCACCCACTGGCAGTATTTATCTGGAAAGGGCGGGAGGTAGGTGTAGTAGTAGGAGGGGTTACGGGGTTACGGGGTTACGGGTGTTGCACCGCTTTATTATTGCATCGCCTGGCGTTGCGTTGCGCTGCGTTACGTGTTATGGAGTTGTAAGGTAAGTAAGGAGCTGATCCTTCCAAACATGAACCCGTAAGAGACATCGGCGGGTAACGCATCTCGAAATGTAGCACACGGATCTGGGTAGCATGAAAATCGCATGAAATCCAAAAGCCAACTGAAGACGTTATCGATGACAGGACATGTGGTCACCCGTGCTTAAATAACATCTTCCAGCGCTCCCAACACGCCTAAGCACCCCCCATATCAACAATCGCGATGCAGTTGCGACATCACAAGGTCTTGTCGACATTCAGCAGCTGTTTATAGGCTCGCACATATCTACCTACGACCGCAAAACCGCAGCGCTGTTTAAAAACCGCAGCACTGTTTCAAAATCCTTACCATCAGAGTAGGAGGCCCAGGTATTCAGCTTGTTGGTGGCTCCGATGGTGGGTTCAGCCCCGGCGCTAGTGATGACACCGGGGGTCCAGAACTCGTCGGCCGAGCAGACATGGCTGATCGTGTCGACAGCGTCCTTGGGGCAATTGCGCACGTCGGACCAGAAAATGCAAAACTGGCAGTAAAGCCAGCTGCCGGTGCTTGTGCTAATTGTCCTGCAAGTTGTGCTATCCTGCAGCCATGGGAAGGGGAACGGGGCGTTTTGGCACCAGCTCTATAATAACATCGAATTTTTGGTTGATACTTCAGGCTAAAATATGGTTAAACAGAAACATAGCTGGAGTGTGCATTCAATGTGCAAAACCTGAACGAATGCCGACCGATGCTCACCGCCAGGAAGTCTAGGCAGCCGGCCTGGTCATAGCAACTGTCCGCTGGCCCACTGATGTCCGTATCAACGTATGTGTAGTTGGTGGGGTCAGAGTGAACGCAGCTGGGCACGGTCGGAAATGAGCTTATCACTTGGGCCACTGCATGAGTGAGAAACAGCGGGCGGTGAATGCACAAATCAATCCATAGAATGATCCAGTGGAAATTTTTAATCAACAAGGTATACATATGCGAAACCTTGTCCTCCCTGTTTGCGAATTGTGGGAGCGGGACGGGTCACACATGGCAAGTAAACCACCTAGAGGTGAAGGGAAATCTCCAGGGACTTACGTTTTCTTCCAGTGTTAATTGACTTGACCGTAGACCATGCTCCCTCACTCGACCGTGACGCAACTGAGACCGAACTCATCAAGAGGAGCATGAGTCCTGCCGCCGGGAGGAAGGCCCCAGCGGCGGCCATTGTCCTTTGCAGGTGCTTTGTTACAAGTGTAGACGTGTTCCGGAAATGAGGAGCATCACAGACAGGTCACCGGAAGCAGGGGATGGCGACCGGAACAACCGTTTCGGTCGGCAGTCCAGCTACCCAAGGAAAGTGAGCTGAGCGCGCCTTGGTGCCAGCCTTGTCAGTTGAATTTATTTGTTTCCAAGGGTGAGGTTTACCCGTTTGCGGAACGGGGCTGGCCGTCGGTATCTCACGGATTTAACCCGCTCACAAAGCAGCGTTTAGTGTTCAGATATGTATCACTTAATCTTGAGCGGGATAATGTTGTTATCGAATTGGGATGGACACCTAAGACTGGTGGGCCGTCAGCGAGAAGTACATTATACGGAAAAGAAAGGCCCAGCAAGATGATATGTAATGTATGTACACTATGTATGGTTAGTGACTTTGTAAGCAATCGTGCCTCTAAATAATCCTGATGTCGTTCATGTTTGTGTCAGCTGATGCAAGTACACTGCAAGAAGACTTCCGGTGGCCTTCCAAATGCAGGAGGAGGGAATGCAGCATGAACCCCTGCTTGTCGGTAAATATTGAGGACATATGCAGGTTACGTGCGGACTATGAGCTTTTCTATACACGTTTGTAACCTTAGCAGCAGCTGGCTGGCTTGGTCAGGGCACGTAATTCAAGGAGAAAGCAGGAAAGACGGACAAATCCGGCCAACAAAATGTAACAGAATCTTTCATTTAATTGGTATCTGCATCATTTATCGTTGTGATGCAGCTGGTATCCCGTAACCGCCCACCAAGCCATGTTTGCCGCAATTCTGTTTGACACAATAATTCTGTAACAATAGGTATAGAGAAACCTATCGCATGACTTCTTCAGGATTGCAGCATGCAGATTTTTATGGTACCGGTAACGTTAGAACTATGACGTCTATGAGCGGCACGCATTTCGGTCGCTACCATTTCGGCTGATATAAACCTAAATTAAGGAACCATAATTGCCAATATCATGGATGCCGGAGCCTAAACGGCCTCACCCTCATAAACCGGTACCGTGCGTATGAATCCCGTAACATCCTTTGAACATTTCCATGATTACCGCAGCCTGATTGTTCCGGTTTCGAGACCTTAGCTCAAGTGTGCTCCTGTTTTGGCGAACATCACTTTGCAAACCGCACAAAGAAGTGACCTGAGAGCATAAGTATCTATATATGTACATGCCCTGTTACGTTGCTGTATGCGCAGGAAGAAGTCCGCCGCCGCAAGCATTGATATCACGCCATGCTCGCCTCCCACATCCGAAACTTCGAAACGGATGATATCTTGAAGTCCTCGATTGTAGAAGTTTCGCGCTGTTCGGGTTCTCCTAGCAAGGTTAGAGGCGTAGTTGGGCGCTGGGTGGCACTAGATTTCGTGGTTTTAGGAAAAAACACGGCGAAGATCTGCTGCTATAACGTCAAATGCGGCGCGGCTACAAAGGAATAATCGAAAAAACTCTCAAGGTTACAAAGTTACTGGTACGGGACCAGACATGCTCTGAAACCGGAAATCCAACATTCCAAGCACAACATTTCCTTGTTGGGATGCCCTTAAAGGCTTCAGGTGCGATCTTAGGGCAAAGTTGCAATAATGATTTTTCCAACGCGACAAAAAACTGTGCAATTTGTTGGCGGCGGCAAGATGTGGTCACGGATCCCTACGGCTCGCAAGAAACGCTGCCGTGGCCGAAATAACCGGAGTGTAACCGTAGAGCTTAAACTTGCCGTTCTGTCCGTGAGGTCATGGAGCTGTAGCATGCAGATCTAGACGCCGATTCCCAACCCCCATGTGAATTGCGTGTAACCGCTTAACCACCTAGCAGAGCCGGCCGCAAAAAATCAGTCGCTTAGCTCTAACAGAGGGTAACAGGACTGTGCTGATAGTGTTTCAAAGTTGCCTCATGTCTGGTGCCGCTCTCTGTCGTCCACGTCATCGAAATGCCGACGCAGCATGCCAAAAACTGCACTGAAGCCGGCCGCGCCCGATGAAAACGTTAAAACTCAAAACACGCTGCACCTGCGGACAACGCAGGGTGCTCCAACAACACCATCCATACGGCTGTTCAAGGAGGATCACTGCGGCTTGCAAGACCTGAATCTGACATGGATGGAAGGGGAGCAGAGTTTGCTCAACCTTTCGTTGTGCGTTCGAGCCTTCGATAATCCTTTGCTGCATTTACACATTTGTCTACGCGCACCCCCCCCCCCACCCCCCCCCCACCCACCCACACACACACACACACACACCACACACACACACACACACGCGCGTTCCCCCCTTTGCCAAGAAGAAAGATTGCCCGGTGGCTACCAAGGCCCTCAAACAAACAACCTCAGCACGCGCTGCGGCACAGTTCCCGCCCATGCAACCTGAGCAAGCGCGGCTGCGCACCTGGGTCCTTGCAACGCCTGGGCGAACCTCCTCCCCGTGATGAGGGGCCGCCTTGTCGGTGCCTTGAGCCCAAAATCAAAACCCCCACAAACGTGGCTAAGCCCTCGCGCTTCGAACTCGAGACTGCTAATCGACGCGCCCAGAGGCCACGCAAAGGCCACGCTAGCCGTGACGGCCTCGCTCTTAACTTTGGCTGGTCAGTCAACTCGCACAAGGGGGACCCCATACGCGGCAGGCGGTCGGCACACGGTGTCAAGGCGGTCGCACCTTTGGTACCACCTCTAGCAGCACCCATTCTCGCTCCGTGGCAGCACCTCACCCGACCACCGCTACATGAAGCACACTACCCCTGCAAAACGAAACCACCCTCGTGTACGTGTATTTGTATGTGCCAGCCACGCCATGCCTGACCGTGCCTAAAGCCGGCCAGCAACCCTGAAGCATTGATGGAGAGACCACCTAAGGAAATGAAGCTCTTGCGCTCACAGACATACAAACATACTTGCGAGCTGACCAGGAACTAAGTTGAGGCGCCGTTGATCCGCTAGATTTGGTTGGATGCTGGTGGTGAGTTGCTGAACCCAACGAATACATTCTGAAGTCGGATGGGGTGAACGGATTAGGGTGCCCCTCTCGCAGGGGAGAGCAGGGAACTGCCTCCAAGGGAAAGGGGGCCGCTGGTGAAGCTATACCACCCTGTAACAACATACATACAGCGCGGGAAGGACCGCCGTTCCTGACTGCTCGGGGGATTCTACGCGGCGATAAGCCCTACGATTAACTACAGCCATGTTCACAAATACGAGAGCAAAGTGGCGTGGTCGTCCCCTCAACTGGGTAGTCATCAGCAGCTGCTGGCCCCGCTGCGGCGTCTAGATGCCACACCGCGCCTAAGTTCCCCCGCCCCGCCGAGGCACCACCACATCCTGGCAGTTGCCCCTGAAGTGCAGGAGGAGGAACACGTCCGGGTAACAAACCCCAGCTACCCGGCAGGAAGTCACAAAAGCATTTTCGCGACGCCAAAAAGAGTCCGCCGGGCTCAGGCCCCAGACAAGGCCTCGGAAAGTCCTAAGGGAGGAAGGCTGCATGCGCGGGATCGGCACGTAATCGTTGGGGGCCGCATCCCCTGAGCCCTGCAGGCGGCCAAGGCCGGACTCGTAGCTACATATGCCCACTGACAGGACAAAGTTCTCACCAAGCAAACCGGCAAAACAGCAAAACCAGACCAGAAGCGGCCATCCTCGTCCGCAGTGCCTCAACTCCAAGGGCCCCTTGCACCTGTTCGGCGCAATCCTCTACCTGCCTTCTTCACCGCATTCCCTGATTCTCTCGGGCCCGGGGGCCGCGCGCCGGGGCCATCTTCTACAACCCTAAACCCCCTTCTCCCGCTCCCATCTCCCCAGCTCAATGCATTCCCAGGTCACCCCCCCCCAAAACACCCAAAAAACTTCATCCCCTCAACTTCCCCAAGACACCAGGAAACCCCCACGGTGTGTGAGCACACCGAGCAAAGGCGCTTTCCTTCCTTTGCAAAGATGAAATGGTTGGCGTCCACCCCTTCCCAGCCACGTCTTGGCACCCTGGCTTCACAAAATTTACAAGGTAACCGTTGCTGTACCAGGTAATACACAATTGCTCGCGACCTATCCAGGACATGAACGGCGCCCGGCGGCCCTGGCTGTACGTTGCAATTTCCAACAGTTTTGCCGGTCTGTGTAAGGGGGCACACGGACACAAGCCCCCGGGGGTTCCCCCCTTGATCCCGGGGCTTTTGACTTGACGGCGGATGCTGCGCCTGAAAGATCAAGACATGCTCGAGAGTTTACCAACACAATCCTTCAAAAGGCTCTACGTTACAATAAATGTTTATGCATAATGCTAAGCAGCACACCATATATTGCGACAACTGAGGCCTAAGAATGCGGAAAGCCACGCCTGTAGTATGCACGTGGCTAGTTAGCCCGAAACATAGCAAGAGCTCCAGTGCACCACTGCAATAATATTTTTTACAAAACACCCTCACTAATAATACGCATGGTAATTAAGTCCAAAAATAATAATGACCTCTTAACTCGAGGCCGCGCTAAATAGGCAACAAGGTTTCAACAGCATCAACAACCGACCATTTGCAGTTTCAGGGAAGTATCACAAGGTAAGATATAAAAATGTAAATAGTAGACTCATGGGCTGAGTAATCCCATTAACAGCCTTGCTTTCCTTGGGGTCACCGCAGCTCGACCTCCTGCAAGATTTCACCAAAGCTCCCGGCTACAGCGCCTCCACTCCTTACCTTCGCCGCAGCATCAAATTGCTTCCTAAAATGACCAAACATTCTGCACAACAAGATCATTGCAATAATTTGTATATATATTACTGAGATGGGCCAAAAATGCGTGCCAAGACGCATCACGCTTTCGCGCCACCTAAACTTCCGTCAGGCTGCCTCATCAAGCAGCCCCCCGGCTCTAAAAGGGTACAACAAAAATCTCGTTGGATTTGCAGCAGCTTAAATATTTTCAAAGCTGGCTTCCAAGCGAAAGTCAAAACCCAGCATTGCGTCCGGTTTCCGTGGCCAGATCCGCCTCCTTATTAATACCTACAAGTACACCGTCATCTATCCGTCATCCCTCCGGTGTCTACGCGTCTACTGCTACCGTTTATCAGTACACAAAGATTCACTTTCGCCTACAGTTACCAAGAAAATACATCCGCGGGGCGGTGGCCGCACGCTCCTCACAGGCCATATGCCCGCAGCGGCCCAAACAGATGCTCCACCTCATCCCTCGGCACCTGATGCGCCTCACACATCATCTCAAGACGGGACGCCGCGTCAAGAATGGACTCGCGGCTGACAGCCGCCGCATTCGCCGTCACCCTCGCAGCATCCACACCAATGCAGCCGCCAGCAGCTGCCGCCGCCGCCGCCGTCAGTGCACGCAGCGTCACAGCCAACGCGTCCTGGTCGTACGGCATGCCGTACACCTGCCATGTCAGTGCCAGTTGCCGCAGCTCAGATCCGCTGCATGACGCTGTACGCGCGGCCAGGAGGCCCACGAGATGGCTCCGGAGCCGCTGTGCTGCAGCCAGCAATGCAGTTGCTTTGGAAGGTGGCGGCTGCGGCTGCGGCTCGGTGGCATCAGTACGGCGGTCTGAGCTCGGCACTCGAGCAGAGGGCCCTCCACTCACGGCGGGTTGCTGCAGATGCGGGCGCTCTTCGGACTGTGGGGATATAAACTCGGTGATGGCGGCGGTGGCGGCGGCGGCGTTAGCGCCGTGTTGGCGCAGCACCTCAGCCCGAGCACGGATTACGAGCTTTCCCGAAACCAGTACGGCACGCAAGGCCCCGTGCCAGGGCAGATTCCGAAACCATAAGCCCTCGGCATCGGGATGCTGGACGACGGCGTGCGCCCACACGATCGGTACGTCGACCCAGCCCAGCGCATCCACCTGCATGGAGCCCACACCCGCACAGAGTCCGTACAAAAGTCCATGATTTCTTCGGCAGCATGTGTAGGGCGGGGGGCCCAATACAACCCAACATAGATGTGGCGATAGTTGCGCAGTTGACACCATCTGGCCGTGTGGTCCCCCATCCCGGTGCCTTTTCCCAAGCACGTCGTACACCATCGGTGCCGTACTTACCCGCACGAGCATGTCCGGCACAGAGCTGAAGGTCTCCGGTTCCAAGGTGCACCGCCCGGCGCGCGAACCCAGCCGCTGCATCGCCCACATCAAAGTACGGTGGAACACCGGCTGCTCCCTGGGGTCCAGTGCCGTCGCGGTGTCACGGAGCACAGTCAGCGCTGCCGTCAGCTCGCGCGCTGTGAGCAGCGGTGGCGGCAACGTTGGCGTCAGAGCCGTCGCCGCCGCCGGCATCGGCGGCGGCAGCCATGACATCGACCGTCGATCGGCGCCGCCGCCGCCGCTGTTGATCTCAGCACCCGCAGCCGCTACGGCCACGTAACCCGTTGGGCGCGACAGCTCCGCGTCCGTCACACCGCCAGCGGCGGTATCGCCGTCTACGCCATGCGTTCCGTGTCTGGGTTGCGAGCCTTGAAGCTGCGGGTACGGTGGCCAGCGTTGTGTCGCTGCAGGGGCGGCGGCAACCGCTGTGGGGTTGACAGAGCCGCCGCCGCCGCCACCACCACCACCACCGTCAGTCGTACGACCCGCTGCCCCCCAGTCACCCGTCATTTGCTTTACACCCTCCTGCAAATCATGGCATATCACAATATGCACGGCGTACGGCGATGTTATATACGACAAGTGCAACATAAAGCAAGCGTGTCAGAGCCAAGGAGCAAGGACGGTCTGTAGTATGCCTGAATCCGTTTGTGCAGAGGCCTCTGCTCGGGTGCCGTCACTGCATACGTTGCGGCAAAAGCTACGACGTACGGCCGACTATCACAAGCGACCCAGAAAGGAACGAAGATACCTGTGCTGTGCTGCTGCCCAGCATATGCTCCTGAGCGGACGGAGTTCAGAGTACCTTTCCAGGCTAACCCTTTCGCACCTGAATAGTCGGTAACACCAAGCCCAGCCAGCTTGCTAGCACGCCTTGTGCGAAGGGCGACGCCAAGATTGCCTTCCTGGAGAGGTCGGAGACGTCATCGCCGCCGTCCTCGAGGCTCCTGACCCCGTCGCCGTCGACACTGCCGCCGCCGCCATCGCCGCCGTCGATGTCGACGTGGCCAAGTTCCGCGGCTGCCGCCGTATCGAGCTCCGTTTCCTTGGCAGCGGCATCGACGCCTTCGTCGGCGTCAGCTGCGTCACTGCTAAGTACGGTAAGCAGGCCTGCCAGCGAGGCAATGGCGTCTGAAAGGCTCACATTCTCCAGTCGCCGCTGCCATCCCGGCAACTGTACGACATGCGCAACAAGGTGAGACAGCCGCAGGAGCTGCGATCGGCCACCGCCGTTGCTGCCGCCGTCGGCCATGGCAGCGTCAGGAGCAAGTCCGTTGCCGCGCTGCCGTCGTCGCTGCCGTCGCGCCAGCGCCGCCACGTCCTGCAGCAGCGGCAACAGCTCCGCCGCCCCCAGCGTCTCCCACCCGCGAAACAGCGATGACCAGTCGTACCGCGCCAGGAGATGCGGCGGTACGGAACCAAAACACATCAGTATGGAACGTACGATACGGCAACGTTGACGGGGCCCGAGCCCACGACCGCCGCCCACGCCAGCATCAAGAACGGCGGCAAGGAGCGCCGGCCCGACGACGCGTGCAATCGTGGCGTGAGGAATATAGCGGTAGTGATGAAAAGCCCAAAGAGCCAAGTACGCACCGTACGGCGAGATGCGCCGCCGGTCACCATTTAACCGCGAAGGCAGCGGAGGCGGCGACGTTGTTGCACTGCCGCCAAAAGGTGGTGGAAATGGGGGGATGGTGGTCGCCGGGAGTGATAGAGAGCCGGACGAAGAGGCAATGGAGGAGGCGGTAGAGGACGGCAACGATGTTGTGGGCGAAGAAGATGGTTCACCGAGCCCGTCGGAGCCCGACGCGGAAGGGAGCGAGAAGGCCGCATTGAGAGCAGCCACGGCAGCGGCGGTGCTAGCGTCGTTGCCAAGATTTCTGGTGGGGTTCTTCAAGCCACCGCGGCTGCCACCGCGGCTGCCGCTGCCGCCATTGATCGTCTTGCGGATGACGGCCGCCTCCAGCGCCCGTAGCTCTCCTTGAATGACGGCCGGCGGAAGCCTGGCACCTGAACAGCGCATTTGGGGATCTTGTTGTCTGGGTGACGTAGCCAAAAAAAAAGGTAGTTACCGGCATAACTGCGTTGGTTTCGGCAGGGTTTGAGACCTACTACTGGTTCGCGGACAGAGGTCGATTGGTTGCGCAAAGCGCGTATATTGTTTTGCTTTTGACTTCGCTTCCTTTACGCAGCCCGCGACCCTCCGAGCTCGTCTGGACGTTACTAGTCCAAGCATGCAGCAGCCAGCCAGTGGCTCCCGAATCGCTGCTTTGGCCTCCACCCCATGGAATTGGCTTCCCTGCCTACGGAAGGGCTTACAATGACTTCATGGGACTGGTGCCGAACTGCATGAGTAGAAAATCCAGACATACATACACACACGCACACACACACACACATACACACGCACACACGCACACATACACACCCGACGCAGCAACCAGCCACAGCATTGACGCGATGTGCTCCGGGCATGCTGCGTCCTCGTCGGGGGCTAAGCGCGGAGGCCACGCTTCGCCGTACAAGCGCTCCACTATGGCCGCCGACGGCGACGTCGCGAGGTATGGAAGCATGCCGTACAATTCCTCCCGCTGATGTGCGCGCCCAAGCGCGCCGCTGTCGAGCAGTGCGGCGACGCAGGCATCGAGCCAGCTCAGCACGCTAGCGGCAGCGGAATCACCGCATCTGCCACTGCTGTCAATGCCAACGCCGCCTCCTCCGGTGGCTCGGGGACCCGAACCTGGACCCACCACGCGGGCGACATCCTGCTGCGACGGCCACGATGACGATGGCCATCGGGTAGCGGCAGTTTCGTACGGTGGATGCTGAGTCATCCTCATGTACGGCGGTGTCTGTGCCAGCGGCGGTGGTTCTGCGGACGAAGTCGCGCCGGGCATATAAATAGCCTCCAACATCGTCATGGTGGAACGTACGTTGGCGGCAGTGAGATGACCGCGGGCGGCGGCTGCAGAAAGCCACGCACGCACCGCGTGATCCATCCAGGTTATTGAGGGAGTGATGTCCATGGCCTGGAACATGTCAAGCAGAGCCGCCAGGTCGCACCCGTACGCCGATAGCAACGGCTCGGCTGTGGCTTTGGCTGGCTCTGGGCCCGAAGACTGCACTAGGTTTCGAAGTTGCGCCAGGACGACTGGCGGCGGCGTGAAGCCGGTGATATCAGCGATTCGGGCGGTGTGCAGCTGTGGGGATGGGAAGGCGGGACACGCAGTGATTGAGAGTGTTAGGTTGCCGGTTTTAGGTTAGGTGTAGAGGTGGTTTACAAACACTGCTAAGCACTGAGGATGAAACTATAGCAAAAAACATTATCAGTGCCTTGTTAAGTTTGGGTTAAGGATAAAGCTGAAGTATTGGGCTTGGCAGTGGCTCCATCTTGTCAGTTTAGCAAGCAGGTTTTCGTTTGGCGGAGGGCTCCGAGATATTAAGGACCAGAAGATTGTCATGGAATATTAAACACCACTTACCAAGTCGTCCATTGTCAGGCGGCTGTCCAGTGAGTCGTGCATGGCAAGCTGTGAGAAAAAGTGGCTCGCTGATTGAGCATCGATGTGAGTATTCTCAAGGACATCAAAAAGATGCCATTCATACCATCCGTTTCTGTCAGCTGAATAGTGCGAGTATGGTGCATTCAGAAACGAGCTAGGGCTCCGGGAAAGCTGAGTCTCTCTAATCTCCGCTGCCATACCGGTTAAAGCTGAAGCTGAGCTGATTGGTGGAGGTGATTCTTTGGACTCAATATACTGTCCTTGATCTGCGTTGAACGCTGGTTGAGGAGTTAATTCATGTTTTGCATTGGCATCCAAGGCTCCCTGCGCGTCAGACCCCACTATATCTCCATTGAATGATTCTTGAGGTTCGCCTGACTTGCAAGTGACCAAACTCGTCCCCGACGGCGGTCTGCTGCCACGCAAGCACTGTGTTCGTTGGAAGCCGCAAACTGGAAAGCGAGTCGCTCTCACGTTGCCGGTCGACTGACGCTGGAATCTAACCAAATCACAACACCCAAGCGTATGCATGATGTATGGGAGACCGCGATGATCAAGACTCGGCAAAAATAGACGCTTGACAAAGAAGGTCGTTGGGATGGAAGAGACGAGCTAATGGACACTGAGTTATGCCTATCTGTACAGAGATATCTGCCCTACTTTAAAAATTAAGATTGCCGGCCTATGCACTGGCTGGGAAGTAAGTCGCCGGAGGCAAGGCCCAAGTGATACAAGCCATCTGCAAGCAATGTTTATGACCAACGCAGCACCGGTGACTATATCCGAGTAAATCTATCGCTGCATTAAAAGAAGTGCACGTCTATGTGCGAGTCAAGTATAGCAGGCCAGTCGGATTCCTGGCGTTAGCTCTCAAAGAGTAAACTGATGTGCGGCGGATTAAAGGCTACGAGTATCTATAATATATTGACAGGTAGAGGCTGTACATCCAAAGGCAGATGCGTGGCCGTTGTGCCCTTTCTTACAACCACCGTCCGTGCGCAACTGGCAATCAACCGCCTCAGTTCTAGGCTTGGAAGCTCACAGTCTCCTGGAGGCAGACTTTTGTAGCACGTAGAAGGCAAATCAAATTATTTGCAAGGGTATCATACAATAACAAAGCTCTGCTATCTTACATTTAGCGGATGCAAAGACAAGCTCCCCTGGCAGGAGCTTATGTATGTGGCCCTGCCATCAGCATGTGTTCCAAAGTAGCTAGGAGGCGTTCAGGAAGTATCCTTTCTGCAACACGTCCCCTTGGCTTTTGGAAACCTGGGAAAATGTTAGTTGCTGCGAGGCGGTTTTCAACGAAGGTCATGCCTACTTTTCGGTGTACAGTAACGGCCAAAACTTGGACAAGAACGGTTCTACTAAATGGCAAGTAGGGCGTCAGCAGCTTCGCCACAGACGAGCCTTTGCGCGGCGCGTGGGCAAGGTGATCCACGAGCCGCCGTACCCACAGACGAAGGCACCTGGCCATCTGCAAAGATGACCTCCAACAGGATCGATCAGCAGCAGAGATGGGAGATCCCAGCAGGATCGTGTCATCGGTGCATGTATGGTTTCTAGTCGTGCAGAAGCACCGTGGCCTTGTCAGCAGATGGCCGAGTGGGCACCTGGCGGCTGTGGGCACGATGCACCGGAAATAGTTGCCGGTCCACCAGGCCTGCTTCGCAAACCCAACGCAGTCATGCTCGATGTGCATAGCATGCATGATATCTCGGGACCTTTCTTCAAGTATATTCAGACTGGAACAAAAGGGCGCTACTTGCATCGCTACATCGCTAACATCATAATAATCACTGTCCCAGTCGTTTCAGCTCAACCTGCTTTTAACACAGCTGCAGTACACTCGAGCAAATTCCAACACACACTACAAGCACGTGCGCTAGCTATATCGACACATATTCCCAACGTATCCGTGTTGCGCTTCTGTACTATCTAACTAAGATACATAAATTGAGCAGCGCTAGGTGCCAACCGTCCGGGCCCGATCGAGCCCATGTTCGTCGTGTGGCTATACTGCGCGAAAAGCCTCGGGACAGGGGCACCCCGTGCAGGTTTTCATGAGCACTATATCTAGTCATATGCGGCGGGAAGGGCGGACCGCACCTACATGCACCTACAAAGAAGGGGAAACGCCTCCCAGCCACTACGTATTAGCGCACGGCAACACCACAGCAACACAACTGCGCTACGAAAATGCATTCAGCTGCGTAATGGCAGCTTTCGCGCGATGCGACCGCCGCAATGGGAAAAATATTAGCCAGCTTGGCTTGCAACCACCATAACCAGCAGGTGCAAACGTCCCCAAGAGCTACTACATCAAGAAAATCAGCCGCCGCACTGAACCCCGGCAGTGCAAAACGACCCCGACGCCGGAATTCCAAGCTAAGCGAAGTAGCCACGGCTGGCCTCACTGCATGAACGTACAAACCACTGTCAGCAAGAACTCAACGGTAGCCGCTGCCTCTGCTGCCAACTAAAGTACGGCTATACGTCGTCTCAACGGTGTACGATGACAGTTGACAGTTGCTGGTAACTTCACGAGGTATCACTGCATGCGGCATGATGATGACCCCGACGGAATCTTTGACATCCACCACAATATTCCAAAGTGGTTATTCACGGAACAACGAAGGCCCGCCTAGCCTCCTCCGATCTTCCTCCCAGATGCATCACCAGCAGCGGTGGTGGTCATCGTCTGCTGCTCCGCGACATGATCGGCTGCTTGGACGGCACCTAGCCAAAAACTTTCGCCGGCAACAGCGCTCTCCCAGATGAACTCTTCTTGATCTTCTTCTTCTCCTCCTCCTCCTCTTCCTCCCTCTAATACTGCTCCTTGCTCCCTCTCGTTCACCATCTCTTCGTACGGCGACGACCGACGGTGGCGGCGGCAGTGGCGGCGGTGGCGGCGGCGGTGGCGGCGGCGGCGTGCATAGGATTCTAGACTCTCGAACTGTATCGTCAGAACTGTGTTGGAACGGCAGATTAGAACCTCCTGATGGTGCAGTTCATCAACTTGACATCGTACACGGAGATCCGGGCAGTGCTCAGCAGCCGGTTGAAGCCCTCGTTGCTCCCCGCCTGGCAGGCGGCGGCGCCGTTCGCGAACGAGCTCGCGACTTTTGCCGTCGTGTACCTGACACGCCGAGCCGTCTGAAAGGCCGATGGGTCGCACGAGCCACCAAAAAAAGCAGTAAGCTTTGCGCAGGTAGAGCTTGCCGAGGCGGCAATGTCGCGCTGGGTCTCCATATAGGTGAGGAAGACGTTGAGCAGTTCCGGTGCGCCCGAAGTGGTCGTAGTTTGGAGGAAACGGCGCTTCACATCCGCCGATGCCGACTGTAGCCCAGCCTTGTCCAAGAGCCACGAGGAGGCGCTGATGAGTGTGCGACGCAGCCGCCGCAACAACGACTCGCCGTAGGTCGCGGCCGCGTAGCGGCAGTTGACGGATGTCTCTTTTAGGCCCAAGGCTTGGACCCGTGCCATGTACGCCCGGACGCTGGGGTCGGAGCAGTCCGCTAAGAGACTGTAATCGTAGAAATTGATCGGAACAGTCACGTAGGTCCTGCAGTGGTTTCGGAGCATGGTGGTGACAATTGTGATAGTATACATTTTCTTATTTGGGTTAAAACCCCAAAGTCCCCAAGCTACGATGTATGCCATGTCATGCCTTGGTGTGAGATGTTCATTCGTGCTGAGGGTGCGACTGAAACCGCCGCGCGCACTCTCTCACCCTGTCACCTTAAGCACTGAGCTTTCTCTATCTCTAGCTGTTGACTAAGGATCTTGTCATCACGCCTTGATGGCGCTTTCGCAAGCAGCGTTTGGTTCGGTTTGCAGCACATAAGCACATAAATAAGTACCCGTGCTTCCCCACGCGCTTCCCCACGCACCCGGCGTCCGTCAGGCCAGCGCCCGGAGACGTCAGCGAAACATTGGCCGCCACCAGGAAGAAGGTGCTAATCTGTGTCGCATTCATCGCATCGCAACATGATCCATACGGAGAGACGTCAGTTGGGGTGAACTCTTTGCGGTCACATGGCGCGGCGCAAGCATATGGGCAAGGCAAGCATACGGATGGGCAAGGCAGGCAGGTAGACATGCGCGCCAAGAGCATCGCATGCACCCTGCGCCAGGCAGGCAGTTGGTAATCGTCCAAAAAACGATTTGACGGATCAACGGGTTTACCAACTTATCTAAACCGCAGCGCATTCACAACATATTAGTACTACAAGTCGCAGAGGCCGCTTATTAAGCCACAGATAGAGCTTCCCTCTACCGACGCATTCACAAACACACTGCCAACATGCAAGGGACGTTACACTAGGAGAGGGGCGAAACAGGTCCCCTTCATACCTTAGCAACCCTTCGCAGACAGACACGGAGTTCCTCGCAGTGCCGGGTATGTGGTATACAGTACTGAGGTGACTAAGCGGCTAACGTTTCGTCTCAAGTAAAGAGGTGATCGCCCTAGCGTCGGCGAGGAATAGCCGCCAGCCAACACATTTGACATGTCAGGGCACACACACACAGACAGACACACACACACACACGCGACTCACCTGGACCCGGGGGATGGGTATTGCGCGAGGCGGTCCTGGCGGCGGCGCAGGTGGCGGCGACGGCGGCAGCGGCGGATTCGGGGCCTGTGAGCCCTTGATCATTCGGAGGATAGTCGCAGCAGCCAGTCCATCCACGTCAAAGGTGGCGGGGATGTAGTACACGATGGTCAGGTTGGACAGCGGTGACAGGGAGAGTCTTTGCAGGGTACCGCCAATGACTGGCGAGCCTACGGTCGAGTTGTATGTGGCGACGCTGCCGTTCGTCATGTAGAGGGTCACATAGATCTGCATGCCGAACGGTGCTGGGAAGAGGATGAGCTCGTACGAAGCTGGCGGTATGAGCGCGATGTTGTGCTTGGTGACTTGGTTGATCGACAGATTGTAGGGCTTCCCTCGAAAAGGCTCCGGCAGGCAGTCGCGTCTGCGTTAAAGAAGGGAGAGGGGCGCAGAAGGGGAACATAAGGCAGGTTAGAGAAGGACCGGTGTTAGACGGTGGGCTTCTTTGGCATCATGCGGCGGGGAAGCCTCCCTCAACCAAACACCTAAAAAACTGTTAAATCCATCTGCCTGTTCGTACGTACACAGAGCTGGAAGGAAGTTCTGGCGGTCCGCACGCAGTGTAAACGTGTTTCATCCCAAGGTAAACCCGGTCAACCTACGAGAGCTGGCAACCCTTGCATGCATGTGCACCAATCCCACCGCGACCCGCAAAGGACCACCACGCCGCGCCGCAGCCAACTTACACCCAGCAGTGGCTCCAAGCCATCTCGCGCATCAGAATGTCTGCAAAGCAGGAGGATGGGGCGGTGGGAATCATAAGGTATCAGGCAACGAGAATATGGTGCTTGAAGCTGCCGGGCTCCGTAACATGGAAGGCACGAAGGGCGCGTGCACGCACGCGC